ACGACACACTGAGGACTACGCTTGCGGCTCTCGGGTTTGCGCCCTCCACAGCTGACCCGTCACTGTTTCTGCGCACCGACACTTCGCTGCCGCCGTTCTACATCCTCGTGTACGTCGACGACTTGGTCTTTGCCACTGCTGACACTGAGGCTCTCGCCCTGGTGAAGTCGGAGCTGCAAAAGAGACACACGTGCACAGACCTGGGTGAGCTGCGCAGCTATCTTGGCTTGCAGATCACCCGGGACAGTACACGTCGCACCATCACTCTGACTCAGTCACACATGGTGCAGCAGGTCCTTCAGCGCTTCGGCTTCACCTGGTCCTCGGCACAGTCCACTCCTCTGGCTACAGGTCACTCGCTCTCAGCTCCACCTTCGGACGAGTCCGTAGAGCCGAGTGGTCCTTACCCAGAGCTAGTAGGCTGCCTCATGTACTTGATGACTTGCACTCGTCCTGACCTTGCGTACCCTCTTGGCCTTTTGGCCCGCTACGTGGCTCCTGGTCGGCACCGAAAGGTGCACTGGGATGCTGCGAAGAGGGTACTGCGCTACTTGTGCAGTACATCGGGCATGAGGCTCGTGCTTGGAGGACGGCGAGAGGTGGTCCTCACTGGGCACTCAGACGCGTCTTGGGTTGACGACCAGGCTACGCAGCGGTCGTCACAGGGTTACACTTTCAGCCTTGGCTCTGGTTCTGTTTCTTGGCGTTCTACTCGCTCGTCTTCTGTTCTCAGCTCCAGTTGTGAGGCTGAGATCTACGCCACCGCCATGGCTGCTCAGGAGTTACGCTGGCTCACCTACCTGCTGACCGACCTGGGAGAGCGGCCTCGTTCTCCTCCAGTGCTGTACGTCGACAACAAGGCTGCCATTGCCTTGTGTCAGGATCACAGACTGGAGCACAGAACGAAGCACATCGCTCTGCGGTACTTTCTGGCTCGAGAGTTGCAGCAGCGTGGTCAGCTTCGTCTTGCACACGTGGCCACTCGGGCCAACACTGCTGATATATTCACCAAGGCACTTCCGTCTGGTGATCATCAGCGCTTTTGTACCTTGTTGGGCCTTGTGCCTACGTTTCCACACTTGCTGTAGACTCTGCCTGTACTGTGATCTTTATATATATATATACCTGCATGCTTGCTCTTGCTAGGTAGTGATTACCGTCATACCCCGGATATACCCCCATGGGGGGCACTAATAAAACGTGTTTTTTTTAGGGGGTGGGCTTATAATATAGTAAATTTATAAGCGCCGGCGTTTATGTTATGACAAAAATGAAATTTGTTTTTAAATATACCAAATCGAAGCATTCACAAAGGCGAATTCACCTGAGTCGAGAACGTTCGGAACTGTGCATGCTATGCGCGTGAAACGGCCAACAAGGCGTGGCAACACGCCTTCCACGCCTTGTTGGCCAGGCCAGGTTCATCGAACGTGAACCTAGCGCATGCCTGCGCACACGTACCTCGCATCACAGCGGCCCAATCAGGGTTGCATGCGATCGTGGGCACGTCGTGGTTCAGCCACGGCGTGCCCATCAACAGCAAGATACCCTGCCACCGAGGCAAAGAGCTGCCCAGCTCAGCTCCTCTGCGGGGAATCTTGGCTGTGGCCACACTTTCCCCGCAGAGGAAGCCGGGCCGCGAAACTGAAGGGGTCTCGGGCGAGGGCTTCATACGGCCCTCATTGTCAACGTTTGGTTCAGTTTCTTTCGTTCGTTTGGCCTGCCTTGGCCATGGCGGGCCTTTCAGGCACGCATTTCTTGTTCCGCCGCCAGCCTGCTGCTAGAGAAAGAACCCGCCAAGACACCAGTGACTGGTCTCAATGGCAGAGGCGCCCTGCGCCCGTCCCTCAGTCACAACCAGTAGCGCCTCCCATTCCTCCAACACCTCCTACGCCTCCTACCCCTCCCGCTCCCCCGGCGCCTCCGATTCCTCCCGTTCCTCCGTCCCCTCCTGACCCGCCTGCTGTTGGTGTTCCGCGACAGGGGGTTCTGCAGCTTCTCCTCCCCCCTGGCTACTCGGCGTTCGACGCCTTCCTGTCCGAGCCTGACCGCAGCGGCGGCGAAGGATCTTCCTCCGCACCGGAGCCACGGTGGGGAGCCCCGGCTGATTGCCCGTTGGACGAATCCGCTACCGGTGCCGACGACGACGTGGAGTTCTGGGCTGCTGACGGTCTCCCCGAGCACCTTCCAATTCCCTCTTTTCCTCCTCCGAATAAGAAAAGGCCTCACCCATCTCGCGATAATCGTGATGCCCGTCCTCCCTCCCCCAGGCACAAGCCGTCAACTCACAAGCGCAACAAATACACGTCGCAGGAGAAGCTGCAATGGATTCTGAAGCTCGAAGCCGGCGACATGAGTGTGCGGCGCATGTCTCGCGTATCCGGCATCTCCCGAAGGTGCCTCACGGAGTGGAAGAACCGCAAGGCTGAGCTTGAGGGCGCGCACGGTGCACGATGTCGCCTGCACGGCCGCGGAAGGAGCTCGTGGTATCGCGACATGGAAGCGGAGGTGTACCGTCGGTTTCTCGCCCACCGCAAAAAGTGCCTCGCCGTCTCCATCGCACGACTTCAAAAGTGGTCGCACGAGGTGATGAAGGAGCTACACCCAGGTGAAAAGTGGGCCGGCTCTCAGCGGTGGACTCAGCGATTTCGCCGCCGCTGGAACCTGACGACCAGAGCGAAGACCCGGGTCGGCCAGAAGCTCTCGGCAAGTGAGTTTCATGGCCGTGTTCATGTGTCAATGTGCTCTCGATACACGATTCTTACTCTGTGTTTGTGCTTTCTGTTCCTCCCATCCCGTGTCCCAGACTGCGAGGATGAAGTGAGGAACTTCTGGGCGTTCGTGCGTCACTCCCGCCGCCAGTACCGAATCGAGCTGCCGTGGATTCTAAACGCGGACCAGACGCCACTCTGGCTCGAGATGCCATCCGAACGCACCGTTGAAGAGGTTGGCGCGCGCTCCATCCCCGTCCGCAGCGGCGGCTACCAGAAGGAGCGGGTCACAGTCATGCTCGCCTGCACCGCCAGCGGGGAAAAACTGAAGCCGTGGGTCTTCTTCAAAAGGAAGACCGTCCCGAAAGGAGACTTCCCTTCAGGTATGCACCACACGTCGATTGCGCCGTGGCATGTGTGTTTATAAATTTTCTCTAACATGGTGGTTTTGGTGTGCAGATATCCACGTGGGGGTCCATCCCAACGGGTGGATGGACGCGGACGGGGTCATCGAGTGGCTTGACGGGGCGGTGAAGCCGTACATCAACCCCAAGTTCGGAGTCCGCCCCAAGAAGGTTCTGCTCGTCCTCGATTCGTACCGCGGGCACCTAACCCCGGAGGTGAAGAAAAAGTTTGGCGAGCTCAACGTGGTCCCTGCGGTCATCCCTGCTGGCTGCACCTCGGAGGTTCAACCCCTCGACGTCGCGGTTAACCGCTCCTTCAAGGCCGCCGTCCGCCAGCTCTACCAGGAGTGGTTTGAGCGTGAGGGGGTCGACAGCCTGACGAAGAAAGGTGAGATGTGCAGCCTGTAAGTTTGTGTTTCCTTTAACTCCCTCTAACTTTGTTTCTGGATTTGCGTGGCAGGCAACATCAAGAAGCCTCCTGTCGAGCTGACGCTCAAGTGGATCTCGGCGGCCTGGAAGTCCGTGCCCAAGGAGCTCATCCAACGGGCGTTCCTCACCTGCGGCATCAGCAACGCCCTGGATGGGTCCCAGGACAAGCTCTGCCTGCAACACAGGCGAGATGAGCTCGAGGGCGAGGAGGTCGACATGGATGATGAAATTGCAGCAGACGGCTTCTTCTGCAACAACGTGGAAGAGCCTGAGTCGGACTCTGACGCCGACCCAGATGACCCCACTACGGCAGATGATCTGCGAGGGTAGATAGAAAATGGTCAAGCCTATGTGAGGCTTGTAGGTAGAAGTACATGAGATGTAAATTGACTATTAGATGTTAAAATAGTGAAAAAAAAATGTTTAGATGTAGGTAGATTTGTTTAAATAGTGTTAAAAAGATGTTTAGATGTAGATTTAATATTGTTAGATATCTTCAAAATATAAAAACACTAAAAACAAAGGGGGGCGGTTATAATGTGTACAGCACAGGTATGCGGTTATAATCTGTAAGCCTTTTAGGTATGCGCTTATAATCGAGCACCGGATATAAGCGCCGGGCGCCGATTAAAAGCGCCAGGCGCTTATCCGCGGGTGGCGCTTATATCCGGGGTATGACGGTACTGTACTTTGTTTGTTGCATATATACCTCTGCATGTGGACTGGCCTTGTGGCCCTTTGCTTGTGCTCAGTGTGTGTGGTGACGTTGTGATCCACCCTGAGCTTGTTTTGTTTCTCTTGACTGGTCTTGTGACCCCTTGTTCTCCCCCACTTTGCCTATGGGGGTGTGTCAAACTATGCATATTGTGTTTGTGTAGGCTGCTAGTGGGGTAGCCCATATGGGGTACAACCCAATGTTAGGGTTAGCTTATGTACCCAACTCTTGATCAATGCATTCATTCTTGTCTCTAGATTCTAACAGGGTCCTATATACGGGGGATTACGGTATTTGTACCCCAACCCAATCAATCCAACTCATTTCGCTGTTTTCAGTTCATGAGACCTGTACAGTCAGGGAAAAAATTGCGGCACTCAGTATTACCAAGGGTAGAAAAAGAAACACACACTTTCTGGTCTAGGGTAAAAATCCCACTACCCTGCCTGTGAAAGGGTAACTGAAAAAAACGGCCGCCAGTCGGGATGGCAGCGGCACTGGTGCCGCAGTGCAGGACAGTTCAACGTAGGTGAGAAGGTTAAACGCGCTGACCTTAATATACTCTTCATGTTTCAGTGTGGCAGTTTTTTTGTCCGAATCCACCCTGATTCCATTAGTGTCGCTGGAAAAATGTGCTGCGAGAAACTGTAAAACTAACATGTCACCCTGATTTGCAAGAGTGGCAGATAAACCAATTTTTGGCCCTGGACTGGATCCTTCATTCCCGATCAGCCATGGCATCTATGCCACAGAGGAGGCCTGGGAGCATGTGATGGAGGCAGCTTCAACCGCCGCCTGAGCTGCGAGGTGGTCTGCCTTGTTTGCCTCGGCGATGAGCGCATGCAGAATGCGAAACACGTCCTTGCGGTTCTCCTCCCGGTGGCGGTACCTGTAGTGCGCCATGCATGCACATGCCCAACCACCCCCATCCACACATGTGCAAGCATGCACGCACGCACGCACGCACACATGCTACCAAATACAAACACAAACACACGCACGCACGCACACGCACGCACGCACGCGCGCGCACACACACACACACACACACACACACACTCACACACACACACACACACACACACACAAACACACACACACACACACACACACACGCGCGCGCGCACGCACACCCACACTCACATGTGTGCGCACACAACGACAATCCCATGCACACACCGACAACCCCATGCACACACCGACAACCCCATGCACACGCACATAATGAAACTCAAATTAGCGAGTGAAGGAGGCAAATTCACATGAAGCAACAAGTACCTTGGACCTCGGATTACAGCTGAACCAACCAGCTTTGCTGCTGCACAACCAAAACTGAGTCCCACCCCCATCTACAAAGGCCACCTTCACTCGGGTCGCACGCACCTCTCGCTGACGATGGTGAGCTCGTCGCGCTGGGCGTTGTAGCGCCGCCCCACCAGCGCCAGCAGGCGCTCCTTGGCCAGGCGGGACAGCTGCAGGTCGCGCACGAACACGCTCACCTTTACCTTGCGGTTCGCCGGATGCCACGCATCGCCTCCTGCACACAGCAGCGGGCATGTGGGGTGTGCAGAAGTTGTGGTGTGAGATGGTGCACGTGGTGGTGATGATGGCAATGCATGCAACATGGCAACACAACACAAGGCGTGAAAGGGAGTGGGGCAATGAACAAGTTAGGGAAGAGAACAAGATACAGAGCAACATCGTGGCATGCCTTGCCATGCCATGCCATGCCATGCCATGTTGGCAGCAGTGAGCAGCGTTGCATGCATGCGGTGCACTCACCTGGCCCCAGCACCATGCAGCGGACTCACCCGGCCCCAGCACCATGCAGCGGACTCACCTGGCCCCAGCACCATGCAGCGGACTCACCTGGCCCCAGCACCATGCAGCGGACTCACCTGGCCCCAGCACCATGCGTGTCTCCCATCTCAGCTCGGGACCCTCCCCTTCATCCTCCTCCTCCTCCCCATCACCTCCTAACACATCCGCTGCACAGTGCAATTGCAGGATTTGGGACGAAAACGTGGAGGGAAATGGCAGAGATCGTTATTGTAGAGTCGAACGAAACGAGAGTGCAACGAGGGTCATGGGTGTGGCACAAGCAAGTGGAGCATTATAACCACCCTGCTCACCTGCAACACATGCCTCGAGCTTCCACCCAAATCCATGTTACTCTCTCCGCATTCTTCCTGCTCATTCCCCTTCTGTCGATCGTCCCTATGTCTACCTTTAAGCTTCCATCCTTCCCCTCTTCTCCCCCAACCCATCGATTCTCGCTATCCTATCTGGAGGCCCCAGCAACCATGCAACCATGCAAGCAAGCACATTTGTCGGCCCTCATGCCGTGTGTGCGCGCATCACCTGACAGAATGGCCCTGCAAGTTCTAGTGTTGGGTGTACATGAGGTAACACCCCAATTGTACATGAGGTAACACCCCAATTGTACATGAGGTAACACCCCAATTGTACATGAGGTAACACCCCAATTGTACATGTACAACAGTGGACCAGCTTTGGTGTGTTGCTGGACCCATGTGATGTGAGGGACACCCAATTGTAGTCAGCGGGAGGGAGTGGCGGGTATTGAACCTGACGGCATAAAACCCACAGCACCCCCCCTGGCCCTGCACCCCCCCTAGCCCTGCACCCCCCCTGGCCCTGCACCCCCCCTGGCCCTGCACCCCCCCTGGCCCTGCACCCCCCCTGGCCCTGCACCCCCCCGGCCCTGCACCCCCCCTGGCCCTGCACCCCCCCTGGCCCTGCACCCCCCCTGGCCCTGCACCCCCCCTGGCCCTGCACCCCCCCTGGCCCTGCAACCCCCCTTGCCCTGCACCCCCTCAGCCTCCGCCTCTACCAGGTGAGCTCGCGGCTGCTCCGGACGCCCTTGGGATTGTGTGTGGAGCAAGAACGCACGCACGCATGGTCAGTTAGCAGATGAGGTCGCTCACCACGGCCGTCGCTTGGACTCCCAAAAGGCACTCCTCATCCAACACAGTGCTGCTGCAGCCCGTCATGCAAGCCATACCTCACATGCTTCTCACTTTGTTACACAGCTCGCCATGCAGCGTGGCGCATGGCTGACGTATGTGCGATGCGATGAGTGTCATGGGTCAGCAATGCGCCCATACGCCACCATTCCTTCCGACGCAACAGCGGTGGCGGAGGAGGCAGTGGTGGAGGGAGGGGGTACTGGTTGCAGAGGTGGTAACACTGCCGCACCCACCAACTTTCAACGACGGCTTGGCCCTGCCACCAACATATCCCTCAGGAATGCCGCGCCCATTGATAAAGCTTAATTTCACCTGCCCTTCCCATCGCCCCCCATGAATCCTCAGCACCAAGGACTTGGTCATTGACAAGGGTGCCTCCACCACTGCCCGTCGTCATGCTGTCCCTATCCGCCCCTTACCCACCCCCTTCGCTGTCCTTGCTGTCACTCAAGTTTTACAGTCCCCTGTCACCGCTTTCCCATCCTCCCGTGTGCCGTGTTTCCCTGTGGACGAGTCACGGGCCTGTGGAAGAGTCACGGGCCTGTGGATGAGTCACGGGCCTGTGAATGAGTCACGGGCCTGTGGAAGAGTCACGGGCCTGTGGATGAGTCACGGGCCTGTGGAAGAGTCACGGGCCTGTGGATGAGTCACGGGCCTGTGGATGAGTCACGGGCCTGTGGATGAGTCACGGGCCTGTGGATGAGTCACGGGCCTGTGGATGAGTCACGGGCCTGTGGATGAGTCACGGGCCTGCGGATGAGTCACGGGCCTGCGGATGAGTCACGGGCCTGTGGATGAGTCACGGGCCTGTGGATGAGTCACGGGCCTGTGGATGAGTCACGGGCCTGTGGATGAGTCACGGGCCTGTGGATGAGTCACGGGCCTGTGGATGAGTCACGGGCCTGTGGATGAGTCACGGGCCTGTGGATGAGTCACGGGCCTGTGGATGAGTCACGGGTCTGTGGATGAGTCACGGGCCTGTGGATGAGTCACGGGCCTGTGGAAGAGTCACGGGCCTGTGGATGAGTCACGGGCCTGTGGATGAGTCACGGGCCTGTGGATGAGTCACGGGCCTGTGGATGAGTCACGGGCCTGTGGATGAGTCACGGGCCTGTGGATGAGTCACGGGCCTGTGGATGAGTCACGGGCCTGTGGATGAGTCACGGGCCCGTGGATGAGTCACGGGCCTGTGGAAGAGTCACGGGCCTGTGGATGAGTCACGGGCCTGTGGATGAGTCACGGGCCTGTGGATGAGTCACGGGCCTGTGGATGAGTCACGGGCCTGTGGATGAGTCACGGGCCTGTGGATGAGTCACGGGCCTGTGGATGAGTCACGGGCCTGTGGATGAGTCACGGGCCTGTGGATGAGTCACGGGCCTGTGGATGAGTCACGGGCCTGTGGATAAGTCACGGGCCTGTGGATGAGTCACGGGCCTGTGGATGAGTCACGGCCCCTTGCATGGTATGATACAGCCTCACCACCCCTTCTCAGCACCTACAGTTCCTCCTGGCGCTCTTCCTCCAGCTACCTACTCCTCCTATACGGACATTCTAGACCCTACTATAGTACCACCCTCCCCCTCTCATACGTCCCTTCTCTCCCCCGCTCAGTGACCCCTATCCCTCCGCACCTGCACCCTTACCTCCGCCAGAGAGAGCAAGGAGGTTCACGAGCGGGGCAGGAACAAGTGCACCCTCTCAACCACGCCTCCACCGCACAAACCTATGTTCCTCCCTCCGCCTGCCCTTCCTGCGCGTTCCCCTTGTGCGAATCGTCCCCTTGTGCTAATCGTCCCCTTGTGCTAATCGTCCCCTTGTGCTAATCGCCCCCTTGTGCTAATCGTCCCTACCTTTCAGCATGCCCCACAGCGCGGGGTCCTCGAGGCACTTGTCCACCACCCCCCGTGCGTCGTACAGGTGCCGCCACTCCCCCTACAGCACCCATCAACCCATGCCCTGCGTGCGTCGCGAGCCCACCTGACAGCATGCCCCACAGCGCGGGGTCACCGAGCCACTTGTCAACCACCCCCCGCGCGTCGTAGAGGTGGCGCCACTCCCCTTCATCCGCGGGCTCCTCGAAGCCCTCCACCTCGTCCTCCACGTCGTCCCCGTACGTCCCGTACTGCCGCCGCCGCCGCTGCCGCCCCGCCCCCACGCCCTGCGCTGCCGCCAGGTACGGCGCAATGGCAGCCGGCGGCGCTGGTGGACCCGCGGAAGGTTGGAAGGGCGGAGGGGGAGGGTTAAGGGCGGAAGGGAATGGTTGGGGCGGGAGGGAAATGGTTGGGGCGGGAGGGAAATGGTTGGGGCGGGAGGGAAATGGTTGGGGCGGGAGGGAAATGGTTGGGGCGGGAGGGAAATGGTTGGGGCGGGAGGGAAATGGTTGGGGCGGGAGGGAAATGGTTGGGGCGGGAGGGAAATGGTTGGGGCGGGAGGAAAATGGTTGGGGGGGGGAGGAGAATGGTTGGGAGCGGACCGAGAAGTGTCCCGGGAGGGGGGTGGGTGGTGGGTGAAGAGGGAACCGTGACGCGCAACGAGCGGCGACGTGGCCGCGAGCGGAATGAGGAAGAGGAAGGAACACTCACACGCATCAGCCGCTTCAGCCACGTCACCGCCCGACGCTTCTCCATCCACCGCCACGTCAGCTGCCGGCGGCAACTCGCCGCCCTGACCATCGGTTTCGCTGCCGTCATCCCCGGCGCCGCCTCCCGCGCCACTGACCGCGCTCCGCCACCTCACTCCGCCCGTCCCCATTCCTAAACCCGTTTGACCGCCTGCCACACCCAACCATCTCGAAGCGCCCGCGATTGAGAGGATCTTGGGCGAATCAAGCGCAAGAGGTCGGCATACGTCGACGACGCGCGAGGGCGCTTGTGGCGGGCATGCGGCCGAGTCGCATAGCTCGGATCTCGTCGCGGGGGTGGCGGCAGGCGATGAGTGCGCGGAAGGGACGAGAGCTGCCGGCGAAGCGGTCGCCTGCGGCAAATGGCGGATGGATCTGCGGATCGACGCGGACGTGACGCGCCACATGGGGCTGGCTCGACGTACGCGCAACGCTGGAAATTGACGAAGGCGAAGTTGCTTTCTGGTCAGGGAAGGCAAACAGAGAGGTGTTGTGGTGCTATGGAACGGGGCCTTTGTTTGAACTCGTTTCAGACCGAGCATTGCGAACAGGCCTCATGCGACAAGCCTCATGTGACAGGGACGTGAAATATATAGATTGTTTTATAGATTGTTTTAGATTGTTTTAGCTTTCGTATACATTTGCAAAGGGTGGGTTCAGAAGTTTTGAAATTTGAAAAATTGGTTACCCTATTACAGCTTCGTCCCCTCGTCCCACACGGGAGTTGATCCCCCCCAACACCCCGCACCAGCGAGACTCGCTGGTGATTCTTAACTTTTTGAAGAACAAAAGTATACAGATTCTCACGTGTCTGAAAAGGCAACCACTGCCCACCACAGGCGGCATAAGCGGTAGATAAGCACTTCGTGACTCAACAGCCAGGGCAAATAACTCGTTTCCGACACAAACGTAGTTTATCTACAAGTTAGTGTCGACTTTTCGGTCTGCACCACCTCCGGTTCCTCCCTCACACTCGATGTCCCGCATCACATGTGTGTGACCTTGAAACAGCGCTAGCTGCGGCGCTAGCTTTCAAACAAGACCCTCCACCTACCACCATCATCACGGCTTTACAGTGGCCTCGCATCGCATGGAATGCGATCCCCCTGTGGTACAATGGGCCGCGACGAAGCTGCTTTGCTTCGTAGGCGACGAGAGGCCGCGCCTCCCTTCCCTTCGCGGCCTTTCGTCGCCTAGGGAGAAGCTGCGCCTCCCTTTCCTTCGCCGAATTTCGACGTCCAGGGAGAAGCAGCGCCTCCTTTCCCTCACGGTGTCACGTCGCCTAGCGATAGGGGCCGCGCCGAAACTTTCCCCTTTGCGCATGCTTATCCCCTTCCCTTTTGCCGCCTCGCCATCTCACAATCCCACCTCTCCAATTCCCCTTCCCGCTCCCCATTACCCGTTCCCGCCTCCCCGTTTCCCCTTCCCGCTCCCCAATTCCCCTTCCCGCCTCCCCTTTACCCCTTCCCGCCTCCCCATTTCCCCTTCCCGCCTCCCCATTTCCCCTTTCCGCCTCCCATTTCCCCTTTCCGCCTCCCATTTTGTCAAATGTTGTAGCCTATAGTGAGGTTTGTCTTAGGGGGTACAAAACTTAGGGTTAGCTATATGTACCCCAACCAACATCAATGCATCATCCATTCCTCATTCTGACATGGTATCAGTTAGGTTAGGATCCTGTGGGATCCCGTTCCTCCGTTCTCCGTTCGTATCTCCCGAGCCTGATCCTACCTCTCGTTCGTACCGGTTCCGTTGTTACCGCGCCTAGTGCCGAGCCTAGCGCCCTTCCCCCCGTCGCCTAGCGCCCTTTCCCCCCCGTCACGTCGCGCCCTTTTCCCCCGTTGCGTCGCGCCCGTTCCCCCCCGTCGAGTCGCGCCCTTTCCCCCCGTCGCGTCGCGCTCTTTCCCCCCGTCGCGTCGCGCCCTTTCCCCCGGTCACGTCGCCCTGCTCCGTCCCGTTGCCCCTGCCCCGTCCCGTCGCCCTGCCCCGTCCCGTCCCGTCGCCCCGTCCCGTCCCGTCGCCCCTGCCCCGTCCCGTCCCCGTCCCGTCCCGTCGCCCCTGCCCCGTCCCGTCCCCGTCCCGTCCCGTCCCGCGGCCCTGCCCCGTCCCGTCCCGTCGCCCCGTCCCGTCCCGTCGCCCCTGCCCCGTCCCGTCCCCGTCCCGTCCCGTCGCCCTGCCCCGTCCCGTCGCCCCGTCCCGTCTCCCTACCCCGTCGCGTCGCCCTCCCCCGTCGCGTCGCCCTGCCCCGTCGCATCGTGCCCGCCCTTTCCCCCGTCCCGTCGACCCTACGCCCTGGCCCGTCGCTCTAGCCCGCTCTTCCGCTGCGACTAAGTCCCACCTGAACCCTAATTTGCCTCTTACCTCCTGCTGTTACTCGCCTGCTCGTTCGCGTTAGTTTTCGCTATGGCGACTCCGCGAGTTCTTCGTTTCGACGCTGACGGCAGACCTCTTGACTTTTCCGTCTGGCTCCTTCGCGCTCGCCGTCTGTTAGAGAGTCAAGTCCAGGGGGGCGAGACCCTCTGGTCGCACGCTACTGGTGACCTCCCCGAGCCCCCCGAGCCTGCCGCTTTAGGTCCTGCCCCTGACGATGCTGCTACGGCTCGCTTTGCCCGTCAGCGCGCTGACAGGACGGCTTGGACGTCGCGTGACGCTGCGGCCTGCATCGCACTCAGCAGCCTCCTCCCTGAGTCAGAGGAGGTCCACTTCACTCAGGTTCGCACCGCTGCTGCGTACCTCACTGCGATTAAGGCCCGCTACTCTACTCCCGCTACTGTCTCTCTTGGCCGTCTTTTCCTCCCGTTCCTGTTTCCTGATCTCGCCTCGTTTGAGCGCTCTGCTGACTTGATCGCTCACCTCCGCTCGCTCGACGCTAGTTACCGCGCTGCTTGCACTGAGGCACAGCTTGCACTGCTTCCTCCCCCCATGGCGATTACTATCTATTTCATCGCCACTAGCCTCCCTGACCGCCTTGCCTCCGTACGTGACGCGCTCCTGCTGAAGCACCCTAGTGAGCTGACAGTTGAGGTCCTTGAGTCTGCGCTCAAGGACGTCGAGAGCAACCTTCGCTCGGTAGCTGCCGCCTCTGGTGCTGTGCCCCCCCCACTCTTCCACGGGTGCACAGTCCCGCAGTTACCCACCTTCACTGCCTCTCTTGCCACTGCCGCTACTGACGCGACTGCAGCTGCTGTTACGACTGCGTCGCGGTCCCGCGGCAAGGGGGGCAAGAAAGGTGGTTCTGGTGGAGGTGGAGGCGGAGGTAGCGGAGGTAGTGGGGGTGCTGTTGCGACTGGCGGTGGTGGGAGTGCAGCGTCTGGAGAGACCTCTCGTGCAGCGGCTGGTGACTCCACTGCGCCTGCTGGTGGTGGCGACACCCGAGCTCGTCAGTCGTCTCCTGTACTGCCGGCCCCGCTAGGTGGAGCAGCGGCGTGGTACCAGGCTCAGCGTCAGCAGCGGCTTCAGCAGCAGCAGCAGCCCCTCTCCTCCCAGCAGCCTCAGCAGCAGCAGCGTCAGCAGCTGGCTCCGGGGTCGGGGCTGCGTCAGCCCCAGCGTGGTGCTGCTTACCCTCCCTGCACCTATCAGGTTCTGACAGGTCCTCGTCGGGGCCACCCTTGTGGCCGCTTTCACCCCCCTGGTCAGTGCTTTGCTCAGCTCACTGACACGGTCCGGTTGGCCTACGGGGTTGGCGGTCCTGCCCTTGACTGGCTTCCTCTGGTTCAGCGCTACGGCTCCGCTCTGTGGGGCATGTCTGCTGAGCAGTTAGTTGATCTGATTGGTGCTCCTCATGCTATGTATGCTGTTGTTGACTCTAGTGTTTCTGACTCTGCTTACTCTGGTGTTGTTAGCTTAGGTGCTAGCCTTGCTCAGTTGCCTGTTGCTAGTGTAGGTTCTTGTGTAGACTCTAGTCCAGCGGCTACCTCAGAGGACGGTTCGCTGTCGTTCACGCTGGACTCTGGAGCCTCTCACTGCTTCTTTCGTGACAGCACGACACTTACGCCTCTTCCTGCGCCTGTTTCTGTGGCGCTGGCTGATCCCACTTCGGGACCAGTCACCGCGCGTCACACTACCACCTTGCCGTGTCCGGCTGCTCCTTCTGGGTCTCTCACTGGGTTTCACGTCCCCTCGTTCTCCCGGAACTTGGTGGGCGTGCGACCCCTTGTGAGTCAGCACGTGGGTGTGTGGTTTGAGCCTTCTGGAGAGACTGCGGTGTGTGTTGACGGGGACTCTTACCAGCCTCTCGCCACTTTTGCTGCTGGCTCAGCAGCGACTGCAGCAGCAGCAGCAGCAGCCTCAGCAGCGGCAGCAGCAGCAGCCGCAGCCACAGCGGCCGCCGTCGCAGCAGCCACTCCTCCCAGTTCCTGTCCCTCCCCCTAGTCTCCTCCCTGCGTCTCACCAGGTGGTTCCGTCCCCTCAGGTTGTCGCGTCCAGTCCAGTCGCTGCGTCTTGCTCCTGTCGGTCGCTTGCCCACCCCACCGTTCTGTGGCACCACCGGATGGGACACCCTTCTCTTCCACGTCTGCGTGCTATGTCTAGTCAGCGTCTGGTCTTAGGTCTCCCGCGTGTCTTGCCGTCGCTGCCGCCGTCCCTTGCACCACCGTGCGGTCCTTGCGTCGAGGGTAGGCTGCGTGCCACCCCTCACTCCTCCTCCCTTCGTCCGGCCACCGAGCCTTTTGAGACGCTGCACTTGGACGTCTGGGGCCCCTCTCCTCGCCCTGGCCCTGAGCGTGAGCGTTTCTTTTTGGTGGTCGTTGACGACTACTCCCGCTATACCACAGTGTTCCCCCTGGCGAGGAAGTCTGAGGTGACTTCTACGCTGATCAGGTGGTTGCTTACCACCCAGGACACTCGTGGTCGTCGTGTCAGCTGTCTCCACTCCGACCGCGGGGGCGAGTTTCGCTCCGGCATTCTCGCTGGATTCTGTCGCGAACAGGGCATTCGTCAGTCCTGGACGCTTCCGGAGTCCCCACAGCAGAATGGGGTTGCTGAGCGTCGCATAGGCCTGGTCATGGAGATTGCCCGCACCTCCTTGACTCACGCCCGTGCCCCCCATTTCCTGTGGCCATACGCAGTCAGGTACGCCGCGCACCAGCTGAACCTCTGGCCACGCGTCTCTCGGCCGGAGGCTTCACCGACCAGTCTTTGGACAGGGTCCCCTGGTGTCGCGTCGAGGTTTCGTGTCTGGGGGTGCTTGGCTCTTGTCCGCGACACCTCCGCGGACAAGCTCTCGCCTCGCGCCGTTCCTTGTGTCTTCCTTGGTTTCCCTGAGGACTCCTCTGACTTCACCTTTTACCACCCTCCCTCTCACCGGTTCTTTGACTCCCGTGACGTCCGTTTCGAGGAGTCCACCCCGTACTACGTCAGGTACCCCAGTCGAGGTCTCCTGGTTCCTCCTCCCCCCCTCTTCCTGACAGCCGCTCCCCCGCCTGCTCCCCCGGTACAGCCTCCCCCCCCTGGTCCAGCCCCGTCTGGTGTGTCTCAGGCTAGCCCTCCCCCTTCGGTAGCCCCCCCTGTACAGCCTCCCTCCCCACAGTCTTCCTCGCCGCCTCCTGCAGGTGCTCCCTCTCGGGAGGTTGGTCCTGCGACTGTCCCTGTACAGGTCTCTGGTTCTGGGGGTGCTGGAGTTGGAGCTGAGCCGCGGGTTGCAGAGGACTCTTGTCTTCCGGGGGCTGGTACTGGTCGTGCGGAGTCTGGGGGTGCTGGTGCGGAGTCTGGGGGTGCTGCGTCTGGGGGTGAGGGTGTCCCTTCGGTTTCTAGAGAGCCTGGGTCTGGAGCTGGTGTTGGTGCTGCCTCTGGGGGTGGTGTGCTTGGTGCTTCGGAGGTCGACTCTGGGGCTGCCGCTGCCCCGGACACTACTCCTTCCCCCCACCCCTACCCGACCAGGTTCCAGGCTCGTGTTCGCCGTGCTCGTGAGGAGCAGCTGGAGTTGGAGAGAGAGGAGAGAGAGTTGCAGCGGCTCGAGGAGCAGGAGCGACAGCAGCAGGAGCAGCAGCAGAGGCAGCAGCCGCTGGAGCAGCAGCAGCCACAGCAACCGCGCAGCAGCAGCAGCAGCAGCAGCAGCAGCAGCAGCAGCAGCAGCAGCAGCAGCAGCAGCAGCAGCAGCAGCAGCAGCAGCAGCAGCAGCAGCAGCTGCTGCCGTCTCCTCCTCCTGTCTCGGGTCTTCGGACCCTTGGTCTCCCGTCTCCCTCTCCTTCCTCCTCCCCCTCTCCTCCCGTCTCTGGTCCTCCGCTTCCTCCTCCTGACCCCTCTCCCGCTGTTTTCCCTCGTTCTCAGTCTTCGTTGTCTCCTCCTCCTTCTCAGACTTGGGCCTCTCGTCGCTCCCCTCGTGCTCGTCCCTCGTCTCCTGTTCCCTTCACTGACCTTCGTACAGCCTTCCTTTGTTCTCGTCCACCTCGTCCGTCTCCGTCTGTGCTTCCGTCTCCTCCTGAGTCGGCCCTCACTGTGTCGCTTCCTTCTCCTGTCACTGACTACTACCGCACGTACCGTCCTGTTCTCTCTCGTGTTCTCGCCTCTCTTGTTACCCACCCTCGTGCCTCTGTGTCCTCTGTGTCCGCTCTTACTGCCGCAGTCACTGAGTTTGCCTCTACCCGCCGCCTTGACTTCGCCACCGCTCTTGTGGCAGCTCCTCCTTCCAGTCCTCTGGCCGTCGGGGGTGTGTCTGCCCTTGGCTGTGACGCCCTAGAGGACAGGCAGTTTGAGCTAGAGTTCCTGGCGGCCGCTTCCCCTCATCTCTGTGCCATGCTCCTCGCCCCTGAGGGTGACCCCGACGCCCTTGACATTCCGACTCCTCGCACTTACGCTGAGGCAGTGTCAGGGCCTTGGGCCTCTCAGTGGAGAGCTGCCATGGACGCAGAGATGGCCTCCTACAGATCCACAGGCACCTACGTCGATGAGGTTCCCCCTCCGGGGGCGAACGTAGTCGACGGCATGTGGATCTACAGGGTGAAGCGGCCACCGGGATCTCCTCCGGTCTTCAAGGCGCGCTACGTGGCTAGAGGTTTCAGTCAGCGCGAGGGAGTTGACTTCTTTCAGACCTTCGCGCCCACCCCGAAGATGACCACTCTTCGGGTGTTACTACACGTAGCAGCACAGAGAGACTACGAGTTACACTCTCTCGACTTCTCTACTGCTTTCCTTCAGGGCAGTCTTCACGAGGAGGTCTGGTTGCGTCGTCCCTCTGCCTTCACTGGCTCTTTCCCTCCTGGGACCCAGTGGAGGCTGAGGCGACCGGTTTACGGTCTTCGTCAGGCTCCTCGTGAGTGGCACGACACCCTGCGTTCTACCCTGTCTGACCTTGGGTTCCAGCCGTCTTCTGCTGACCCGTCGCTGTTCGTTCGTCGTGGCCCCACACCTTTCTTTGTTCTGGTCTACGTTGACGACCTTGTTTTCGCCACCCCTGACAGGGTTGCTTTGGCACACGTGAAGTCCGAACTGCAGAAGAGACACACCTGCACTGATCTTGGTGAGCTGCGCCACTACCTTGGCCTGCAGATCACCAGGGACAGAGCTGCTCGCACCATTACACTTTCACAGTCGCACATGGTGCAGCAGGTCCTTCAGCGGTTCGGGCTTCAGCACTCCACAGTACAGCGCACACCTCTTGCTGTTGACCACAGACTCACTGGACCCTTTCCTGACGAGCCGTTCGAGCCTAGTGGTCCCTACGCAGAGCTTGTGGGTTGCCTCATGTACCTGATGACTTGTACTCGCCCGGACCTCGCCTTCCCTCTCAGCGTTCTTGCGCGCTTTGTTGCGCCAAGGAGACACCGTCCTGTTCACTGGACAGCAGCTGTGAGGGTGGCGAAGTACCTAGCGACGACGTCAGGCGTGGGGCTAGTTCTTGGAGGGCAGCAGTCTGTCGTACTTACTGGTCACTGTGACTCCTCTTACGCTGACGACGCTGAGACTCACAGGTCTACTCAGGGGTACTGTTTCAGCCTGGGTTCTGGAGCTGTTTCCTGGCGGTCCACGCGCTCCTCTTCGGTCTCGACCTCTACAGCTGAGGCTGAGATCTACGCTGGTGCCATGGCGGCACAGGAGCTGCGTTGGTTGACCTTCTTGCTCACCGACCTTGGTGAGCGGCCGAGCTCTGCACCGACCTTGTTCACTGACAACAAGGCGTCTATTCTCCTTTGTCGAGAGCCACGACTGGAGAGCAGAGTGAAGCACATTCACGTCAGGTACTTTCTTCTGCGAGAGTTGCAGAGGCGTGGACAGGCTCGCTTTGAGTTTGTGGAGTCCGAGGCCAACACTGCAGACATCTTCACCAAGGCGCTTCCGCCTTGTGACCACCAGAGGTGCTGTGTGCAGTTAGGCCTTGTTGACACTGGTTCTCGTGTTGCTTAGACTTGAGTGTACTGTTTACTTTGCTTTCTATATACCTCTGTTACTTCTTGGACTGGCCTTGTGGCCACTGTTGTTTGTGCTCAGACTGTGTGGTGACGTTGTGATCCACCCTGAGCTTCGTTTCTTGGACTGGTCTTGTGACCGTACTCGTGTGGTTCTGCTAGACACCCCTCACTTAGGCTATGGGGGTGTGTCAAATGTTGTAGCCTATAGTGAGGTTTGTCTTAGGGGGTACAAAACTTAGGGTTAGCTATATGTACCCCAACCAACATCAATGCATCATCCATTCTTCATTCTAACAATCTTAAGCGCCTCTGTCGTGTCGAAACATCGCACCAGAAGCGAAGCGAACCATATTGAGGCACACGCGAGTCAACCCTCAGAGTATGATGGAGAAATTCTTCCCCTTCCCGCCTCCCCATTTCCCCTTCCCGCCTCCCCATTTCCCCTTCCCGCCTCCCCATTTCCCCTTCCCGCCTCCCCATTTCCCCTTCCCGCCTCCCCATTTCCCCATCCCGCCTCCCCATTTCCCCTTTCCGCTCCCCATTTCCCCTTTCCGCTCCCCATTTCCCCTTCCCCTGCCATAACCTTTCATCGCCATACCCTTCCATCCCTTGTGATACCCCCCTGTGGTACTCTCCCATCCCCCTCCAAGCCCCATCCCATACCTTTCCTGCTCCCTTCCCGCCCCCCCTTTTCCCCCTCCTGCCTCCCCAATTCCCCTTCTCGCTCCCCATTACCCCTTCCCGCCTCCCCATTTCCCCTTCCCGCCTCCCCATTTCCCCTTCCCCTTCCCGCCCCCCCATTTCCCCATCCCCTCATTCCCCCCTTTTTCTCCCTCTCATGAGCCCCCTGCTCCCTGTCATGTCCCCCCTTTCTCCCACTCATTTCGTCACCTAGTGAGAGGCCGCGCCTCCCTTCCCTTCTCGGCCTTCCGTCGCCTAGCGAAGTACTCTCCCCTCCCTGCACTGCCTTTCCCCTCCCTGCACTGCCTTTCCCCTCCCTGCACTGCCCTTCCGCTCCTTTTCCCTCTCCTCCTGCCTTTCCCTCTTTTCCCCTCTCCTGCTGCCTTCTCTCTTTTCAGACCTCGTCCTACCTCTCCCCCATTTCCCCTCGCTGCCTGCCCTTCCCACTTTTCTGCAATTTTCCTGCCTTTCCCTATTTTTCCCTCTCTTCCCCATCTCCCATTCATGTCCCCCCACCTCTCCGTCCCACCTTCGTATCCTCCGTTCCTGCCTCTCCACCTTTCCATCTTATTTTCCCATACCTTCTCCCTTTGTTACTGCTTCGAGCAGGACAAATTCAGGTTCAGCAGAGTTAGGCAGCTTATTGGGAGCAGCATCAGACACAAGTGTTGAGCAAATTCTGACCAGCTAGAGCAGAGGAGAACCCTCCATGTATCTTGAGTTGCGTACGACACGTCACATGCCGCATACAATGTTATGGTGTGCCCATATGCATCATGCAAGGATGTTGTACGCAAGGAAGGAAGGGAAGTTGTTTCTAAGTACAGCTCTCGCTCATTTTAAATATACTGATGTATTATGGCATGCTATCAAATCACTTGAAGGATACGCTGACGGCACACACAAGCTGGAACTTCCTGCCTAATAATTTGGTTTCACTAAGCTGCAAAGAGCAGCACCCAAAATGAGAAGGCCTGATGTCCTTCGTGTTGTGCTGTGGAAAAAAAAAAAAAAAAAAAGACAAGGGCAGATGCAAAAGAAACAGGGGGTAAGCTGGAGGGGAAGGGAGGGGAAGCTAAGGGGGAGCAAGGATAGTACAGGGGGAAGTAAGGAAGGGTAAGCAAAGGGGGGAGGAGGGGAAGGAATGTGCAGCATGTGAGGGCGCTGCAGCTCCCTCACGCGCGCCAGCAGCATGAGCGCACTCACCTGCCGGCAGGGTGGGGCAGGCAGGGTAAAGAAGGCAAGGGAAGGGCATGGCAGGGTAGAACAATGCACGGAGAGAGGAGAGGGAGAGAGGCATGTAGGGAAGATATGCAGCAGTGGTGACAGGGTAACACGTGAGAGGCTTGAACTCAGTGGGTGGTGGGAGGTGCAAAAGCTGATTGTTTGACAACTGTCGAGCTGACGAGCACATTCATAAGCAGACGCGGCAACATATCTTCCCACAGTTTTGCAAACACAGTTTTGCACTCACCCGGACCCTCCTCGAGGGAAATGGGGGGAAGGAGGGGGGAAATGAGGGAAAGGAGGGGGGGTAACGAGGGAAAGGAGAGGGGGAAATGAGGGAAAGGTGATGGGGAAATGAGGGGAGGGAGAGGGGAAAATGAGGAGGAGGGGTAAAGGAGGAGACGGAGAGAGGGAAAAGAGGGGAGGGAGAGAGGGAAATGTGGGAAACGAGGGGGGGGATTTTGTGGAACGAGAGGATGAAATGAGGGGAGACAGGGAAACGAGGGGACAGAGTAGGGGAAATGCGAGAAACGAGAGGGGGAGATGAGGGGACACACAGGGGGAAATGAGGGTAAGGAAAGGGTGAATGAGGGGAAGGAGGGCGAAATGAGGGGAAGGAGGCGAAATGAGGGGAAGGAAAGGGGGAAATGAGGGTAAGGAGAGGGGGAAATGAGGGTAAGGAGAGGGGGAAATGAGGGTAAGGAGAGGGGGAAATGAGGGTAAGGAGAGGGGGAAATGAGGGGAAAGAGGGGGGAATGAGGGGAAGGAGAGGGGGAAGGAGGGGAAGGAGAGGGGGAAAGGAGGGGACGGAGAAGGGAAATGTGGGAAAGGAGAGGGAGAAATGAGTAGACAGAGAGGGGGAAATGAGGGGAAAGAGACGGGGAAATGAAGAGGGATAAAGGGGGAAGTGAGGGTGAGCAGGGGGGAAAATGAGAGGGACCAGGGGGGAAATGAGAGGGAGCGGGGGGGAAATGAGGAGGAAA